GATTCTTATCTATATCTGATCTAGACTTTCAATGAAATATATACCTATATATATATATATATATATATATATATATATATATATATGTATATAAATAAAAAGAAAGAACAGTAAGATATATAATCCGTGTTCTTATAGATATTTTTATTTTACAAAATAGTGCTCAATGTAAATTTACAGAGCATTAATATTATAAATTAATTGATTTAAAAATTTAAAAATGAGAATATTTCAAATCATAGTTAAATAAAAAGTATTATGATCTGAACATTCCCAAAAAAAAATTTTAAATTTATAAATGGAAAAAAAAATGCAAGAATTTTTTTGCCGTTAACAATAAATTTAAAAAAATCCAGACAACATGCATTCAACAGATGTCAGTTCTCATTGAAAAATACAAAATACATCCCTACACCTTACCAAAATGTAGCTAATAACCGATACAATGATACAGACATAAGGAAAACCTAGACAATCCTTGTCCAATTGAAGTAGATTTATCTGTAACCATGGAAACGGGATTTTAGCTGTGTCTTTAAAACCCAGTAATTTTTTAAAAGTTACTCCAAAATTCGCTTGAGGATGAAATGGAACTAATGCTTTTAATTTAATTGCAAAATTAAATTCAGGGCTTTTAGCTTCCATTTTTGAAACATGGTTGGAACTGTGTAGCGAAAAAAAACATATTTTAAATCAATTAATTTATAATATATATATATATATATATATATATATGAAGAAAAATACGGAAAAAACAAACAAAAATCTTAATATGCAATTATGCTGTATTAATGTTAATATAAAGTCAACGTCGGACATTTCGGTCTATTTAAGTCCATCTTCAGGGACATTTTCCTTACTTGATCAATAGATTCATATATTCTCCTCCATTGATCATATATATATATAGGTATATATGTATGTATATATATATATATATATATATATATATATATATGTATATATATATATATGTATATGTGTATGTATATATATATACATATATATATATATATATATATATATATATATATATATATATATATATATATATATATATATATATATATATATATGTATATATATATATATATATATATATATATATATATATATATATATATATATATATATATATATATGTATGAAGAAAATACATAAAAAACAAAAAAAAAATCTTAATATGCAATTATGCTGTATTAATGTTAATATGAAGTCAACGTCGGACGTTTCGGTCTATTTAAGACCATCTTCATGGACATTTTCATTTAAACATAATTAACATTAGAACATATAAAAATTTAATACAAAAGACGATGGACATAAGAGCACAACTAATCCAAACAGATAACTGAAATTTTTATATAAGATCAGCGTTTCCATTTAAATATGATTCTATAAGTCGTCATATCTTATGTTGTGAAAATGTATTCGAAGATGATTTCCAAATATTAAAATATTAAAAAAGTCAATTGATTTTTGTTTGTTTTTTCTGTATTTTTCTTCATACTGTTGGATCTATATCCATATATTTGCTTACATATATATATATATAGGTTGAAGTTCAAGTCTAGATCAGATATGGATAAGAATCTGATAATCTGATAAAATGAAATAAAGAACAAAGTAGGAAATGAATCTCACTCTAACATGTTTCACCTTTATTAAGACTTCATCAGAGATTGAGAATAGAAATGAAATAACAAAGAGACAGACGACTAGAATGTTATGATTTTTGGTAGTTCTCATTGGTCAGACACACATCCCATATATAAACACAATAGATAATATATAAATGTGTGAGGAACATTTATGATGTTAAAGTGTGTGATAGTGTAAGAGTGTGTAAGTAAAGAAATGCTTGGTAACATTAATTCATGTAAATGTATAAGTGTGTATGTAAGGGAAATCTGATGTCACTCTCATATTTTATTGGTGAAATGCAGTAATATATTGCAAAATAACTTTGTATTTAATTAGATTTTTATATTCTAATATGTGTGTGGGGAAAGTATGTGACCGTCAACTCTGTGTGGGTTAAAAAAAATGAAATAAAATATTGTAATAATCTACTTTTGGCTAGATTTAATATGTGTATTTTTTAAAATTTGTAAAATCCTCATTATTTTAGATATAAGTTAGATTCATGAATAATGGATTTGTAGAAAAATGGTGATATGATATAATGTTTTAAACGAGTGTTTATAATTGATAGTAATGCTAGGAATATATTTTCCAAATATTTTCTCCTTAAACGTTTACATTCATTTTTAATTAGGCTAGCATCAGTGAAATCAAAGTCATCTCCTCTGTTGTTTCAATGTAAGATGAGAGAGTTAGAATATCTGTCTAAACACAAGTTTCTCTTGTGTTCATAGATCCAAGTTTTTAGATCACATGTTGTCTCTCCTATATAAATGTTTTTGCACTGCAGACACTTTCTGGCATTTGAAATGGTGTTTGGTTTATTTCTCTTCCCTATTATATCCCTAATTGTCTTGGAGGTGGTGGTAATGATCCTGGTGTTAGGGATGGCTAATTCATTACCAAGTTTAGTCAAAAGGGTGTTGGAGGGCAAGACTATGAATTTTGTGTAATTTTTGGGAGTATCATTTTTTTTGGTTGTATGGATTTTGTGAACTTGTTTTTAGTGCTGAGGATGAGATAGTGTGGTTAGTGGAGAAGTTTTCTCAATATATTTGTCTTCTTCATTTAGGTATACAGGACTACATATTTTAAGGCCTTTGAGTTAAAATCCTATGATTAGTTCAGATTTTATTCTCTGGTTATGGAGGGAATAGAAATATATATATATGTATATATATATAGGTATAAGGTTTGGTAAATGAAAAAACTAAATATTAGTAACCATATACGCGTGTGCTGTTGTGCATATACAGGTAAGCAAATAAATAATAACCAAATTTAGCTAAGAGGCGTAGACATAATATTGCTCGATGTGGTTATTAATAAATATACATATACCTGTGTTTGGTGTGTGACTTAAGTTTCATTGGTTAAAAATATACAGAAGTTTGTGGGAAGGATGCTGATTCATAGTTCAAAATTAAAATAGTACAAAAAAATAGTACAAAAGCAATGTTGGGGGTTAAGTACAGAAAATGGGGTGCAGGTGTGAATCATTAGAGAAAAAAAATGGAATTGAAGCACACACATACACACACACATTATATATATATATATATATATATATATATATATATTTGTATGTATGTATTTAGGTAGCAAATCTTCATTCCAGCATGTTTGGTTGAATAATCTAAACATGTCTATATCTTAATCCTCTTAAATTCATGGATCAACTTATTAATGTTGTTATCAAAATCATTAAAGAAGATACTGTAGTTTTTCTTATTCCTTTTATTTCCCCAAATACTTTCAATCTGATCCAACGTCATCTTCAGGGGTGAATTGCTAAGTCAAAAAATTAATGTAATTGGTAGTTGTTGTAAATGTGCATGAAATGTGCTTGTTTAATTCAAAAATTAATGTAATCTAAGGGAGGTAATTTATATTTGTAAATTTAGAAAAAAATACAATTTAGGTATTTTAAAACCTTGCTGTTAAAGACATTTTAAAATATTGTTGCTATACTCATAATTAATCTTATTTATTGATGGTTATATTGGATTGTCCGGAAATTTCATGCCAATTTTTAGTCATTCATGTTCCAACTCATTAGAACATGTCTAATTTATCGACAGATATGTTTACATTTCTGATTAGAGCACACTTCAAATTATCTTTTGAGAAAGTTTCAAATTACTTAATTTGTATCAATTTCGTATCCTTATGAAAATGGAAGAATATAAGGTGCATTTTAGACATTTGATTTTTTTTTTTTACTGTAAAGGCAAAAATGCCTCACAAGCAAGAAAAAAAGATATGTGCTGTGTATGGTGAAGGTGCTTTAGCTGACAGAACTGTATGGGAGTGGTTTGCTAAGTTTAGAGTTGGTGATTGTAGCCTTATTAACAGAGAATGCTCAGGCAGACCCCCCCCACTACAGGTGACGATCAAATGAAGATATTTATTGAGAATAACCTGCATTACATAATACAGGAATTGACAGAAACACTAAATTTATCAAAATCTACCATCTGTGAGCACTTAGTGTAGCTTTGATACTCAAATCATTACAATATTTGGATACCACATGGTCTGAGTGAAAAGAATCTTTTAGATCACATTTCATCTGTGATTTTCTGTGTAAACGCAATGAAGATGCACACTTTTTGAAGCAAGTTGTAACTGATAATGAGACCTAGATCATTTACATCGATGCTCATCAAAGAAGATCCTATGGTAAGTGACATGGGCAAACTTTAGTTACTTCAAAAGCAGATTTTCATCCTAAGAAAGTCATGCTGTGCATCTGGTCGGATTGAAATGGAATCCTGTACTATGAGTGTCTGCAAAATAACTAGTCAGTTATTCTGAAAAGTACTGCTTGCAACTGGATGAATTAAAGGCAGCAATTCAAGAAAAATGTTCAGAAGTGACAAACAGAAAGGTGTTGTTTTTTGTCTGGATAATGGTAGACCTCACATTTCTTTGGTGACCCAGCAAAGATTGTTACAGTTTGGCTGGGATGTGTCACCTCACATGCATTATTCCCCAGACATTGCTCCCTTGGATTTTCATTTATTCAGGTCCTTGCAAAATAATCTCAATAGCAAAAATTTTAATTCTTTGGATGACCTAAAAAAACACCTTAATCTATTCTTTGCCAAGAAACCACTGAAGTTCTGGGACGATGGAATCTTTAAGTTGAAACAAAAATGGAGAAAAGTTGTGCAACAAAACGATTCATATTTAGTTAAATAAATGTGTTTTAATTTCCCTTAAAAATTGGCATAAACTTTTTGGACAACCCAATATTTTTCTTGTATAGAAGGCTTCAAGAATTTGAAGTTTTTGTTTTTTATTTTCAAAAGTTGCTTTTAATTAAAAAGAAAAAATAATTTACAGTTTCTTACCACAAATATTGCAGCAATGCCCAGTTGGACGAACAGGCTGTTTACACTGAGGTCGTTTGCAGAAAGGAGAGTGCATTTCACATATCTTTCTAAAAATCTGAATGAAACAGAAGGAAAAAAACAAGTTTAATTTACAAAGTATTCAAAGTATTCTATATTAGAATAGTGATTAATTATGAAATTTTACATATAGAAATATTTTAAAATGTTCTCCACAATAAATAATAAATGTAATAGTAATGTTGAAATTTGAAGATACATAGATATACAAATATTTATCTTCAATCTCAGCCAACAACAGTTCTATTATGAAACTAATGAAGCTAAAGTTCTAAATCCCTTAATTCTGGAGGAAATTTAGAAGAAATTGTTTTTAATGAGTGGAATTTTCAACAAAATCCCTGGAAATTTTCAGAGTTTTTATTAATAAAATAAATCTATTTTAGTAATATAATTATAAAATTAAAATGTCTCTGTAATTGGTCAAATCTAAACATTTCTCAGTGGTTTGTGAGCTTACTGAGTTTGTTAAAATCTATTCATAGCTTATATTTTTGCAACTGTATCCTCAAATCCTTTATTGGAGAATAGCTTAATAGTTCTATAGCTCAGATCTTAAACTAAAGACAATTGGAAACATTTAAAAAAATCTGAATTTATATAAAATTTGTAATAAAATATTTACTTCTGTATCCAAACAAGTTCCTTCTGACAACCTTTTGTTGTGAACTGTGTGGGTTACCCCACTTGGTTCAATAAATGATGATCCCCCACCCCAACAGGAACAATAAAAATAAAATAATGACATGCACATATAAAAAACAAAACAATGTATATATATAAAAACTAAAAAAAATATGGAAGGCAACAGATAAAGTAGCTGTCACCCAAGTGAATATAAAAACACCAAAATTCATTGAGATTGCTATTAACAGATATTTTTCCATCATTGAAGCTCAATTTCATCTAAGAAATGTCATCACAAATAACAAAATTCTACATGATGATAATAGTATCACTTCCAGCAGATATGGTAGCTAAGATACCTCTTTTCATTTTAGAATCCCAAAATTATGAAGAACTAAAGAAAACAATCACCAAGTCACATAAGAGAATGAAACCAGAGTTTCTCAAGAAATTGATATCCACTGCTACTATAACAGAATGACCTTCAGCCTACCTGCAGGAAATGTTGCCAGTAGTTAAACACCTGCATATCAGCAATGATATAGTCTTGCATAATTTCTTGCAAGCATTGCTTCAGTCAATTGCCCCTGGTCATAGCATCCCAAAAAGACCTAACACCATCAAAACTAGGTAAATTAGTGGACAAGTTAATGCCACTTATTTATAACACCTCTGTCTTCATCTCACAATGACCCCAACTCCAACTCCAAGGAACCATGAGGAAACAACAGTTTAAATATGTGTTAACAACATACAGATATCCCTTAGTCTGAAACATAAGAAAGAACAGAAACTGAAAGTTTGCCATACTCACATATACTTTGCAGACAGGGCTAAAATGTATAAACTGTGGTGTAAGTGAGCTTGGAGACAAAACCTACAGATGTTGCCCGGCTCTTGACCGTCAATCAAGAACAAAGCAGGAAACTAATAGGATGAACTTTGTCAGCTCCACTAAGTTTACTGCAGTTTGAAATAAAATCAAAAATAGGAACAGTGAAAATAAACTTCATAGTGGATACTCCCTTTATCAATTATAAACAGAATCATGATAGGTCCTATGCCAGTTTCACTAACTACTAAAATTAAATGCTTCTGTCAAGCAGATCAGGGGATTAGAATTCTGAGCCTCAGATGATTGTTTCCTTGGAGTTTCTTAATTGCAAATATTACTAATCCACTCCTGGGATCTGACTTCCTGAGTCATTTCAGACTCATTATTGATTGCCAAAACAAAACTGTCTTTGACCCAGTCATGATTAGAAAAAAAAATTCTAAGAACAGCCATATCTACAATTAATACAATTCTGAACCACTCTGAAGTTCCCCAATGCATTGAGAACTTGATATAGAAATATCCTGATATTTTTCCCCTCATATGAACCCAAAGAATAAATACTGCTGTGTGTACCATCACATAGATATAGGTAATCATGTCCCAGTGTTTGTGAAACTGAGGAAACTACCCACAGAAAAATATGATACAGCTACCAGTGAAGAAAAAAAGTACATTTCTTAATATATATATATATAATTAAGTAATTCATCAAGTCTAGAAGAAACCTCAACAGAATGCAGAAAACACTGGACAGTTGTTTCATTCTATGATATATATAAAGACCAATAGTGGCCACAGATTTGTCTTTAAACATTCATAATTTGTGCATTACCACATGGACTCTCAACATCAGATAAACTTGATTCAGTAACAAGAAGCCAGTTAAGTTAATTGGAAACTGACTGTACCATATACAGTTTGAGTAGTCTGTTAATAATGTACAGTAGGAGAGTGATCATTAAGGCTGGAATCATATCACAATGGTATTGACATTGCTTACAGTACTGGGTGTTTTCAATCATAAATAATGAAGATATATAATTATATTGCTGTAATTTAATTTTACACTACTTATAGGATAAGAGTGTTCTATATAAGGGATACATTTCTAAAGAATTTATAGATTTTAATTTATTAATCCAACATATTTTTATTACTTTAAATGTTATTTTTAGTGGATATCCATAGTTGAGTAAATGCTCCATTTATTTTAAATAGTAATCTATTTCATCTGCTAGCCTGAACATTTGAGAAAATACACACTCAGTAGAATTTGAACCTACATCTCCTTTACCGAAGAAATTTTATCTGACATGTTTCTGACCACACAGTTATAAATAAAAAATATTAATAAATAAAAATCCATTAGTTCTTTAGAAATTGCTTTGTTTACATTTCAGATACAAAACTAAGCAGTTATAAATTTCAAAGAAATTTGAATGAGTAAAGTGTGCTTTTAAAGGAGATAGAACCTTGCTTGCTTATGAAGCTTTTTGTATCTGAGCAGTCAAAAGCATCAGATCAAATGATGGTTTCTCCTGCAAAGGGGGACACAGGTTTGAATCTTCCCAAAAGGTATATTTTTGTATATTTTCTTTATTAAGATTTCTTGAATGTTCAGACCATTAGACAAAATAAATTACTGTTTAAAATAAATGGTTTAAAGTAATATATATATATACCTGGCCGTATACACAATTCTGGAAAATCCTCATTGAAAACAAAACTATACTTAAACATGAAAGCAATAAACAAAAACTAAAAATTTTTGAAGCTATATACATAAAACAGTTGAAATCTAACCTGAACAAAATAAAACTATGAAATCTCCACAAATATTCTTAAATGCCTATAATTGGTAACAGAAGCCATTGGTTTATATCAATGACTTCCCATACTTAATACTCTTGTTTTCACTCTCGTGTGATTATGTGTGATGTCATGAGCTGCAGTGCGATTTTCACTTCTGTGTCTCATATACATGAGTTTGTCGTTGCTTTGAAATTTTTCATGCAACAAAAACAGACTATCGTTATTGTTTTGTCCATGTATTGTTTAATATATTGAAATGTAATTGTCCTTTTTGATAATGGCTTATGTAAGCCAAAAAATTAGATAGGATTAAATAATATGTATCAATATTGTGATTTCCTTTTGTCTTTCAATGATAATGTTATTAAGCTTATCAGGCAATATGAAAGGACTTTACTTAAAATAAATAGAAATAACTTGTCTATATTATTTAATGAAACATGCATCAATATATATATATATATATATATATATATATATATATATATATATATATATATATACACACACACACATCAAGAAGGAAAGTACTTAACACAAGAATTTAGTAATAAATTTATTTTGACAGATAATTTTTTAGTATCTGTCTCATCAGACTGAAATTACAAAATAGTTTAAATTTATTTAGAAAATTTATTAAAAATTATTTTAAAATTAAATCCCAAGAGAAAAGGAAGTAAATGTCTAAATTACTTGACCTAAAAATTTACATTATTGAAGAGAGAGATATATAAAAAAAAAGGAGAAGCAATGTGTCAGCACAATGAGCAGGAATAGGTGGCAGAACAAGTGACACCTAGTGAAATACATTGAAATTAAATCAAAATTTATATCATCATTATCTAATATATGTCAATATAATAACAATCATCATCATTATCAAGCCATTATCAAAGATGACAATTACATTACAATATATTAAATAATACATGGACAAAACAATAACGATAGTCTGTTTATGTTTACATGGAAGATTTCCAAGCAACGACATGCTTGTGCATACAAGATGCTGGAAGCAAAAATCGCACCACAGTTCATGATGTCACACATAACCACACAAGAGTGAATTCGAGAAGTATCAAGTATGGGAAGTCATTGGTATAAACTAATTATAGGCATTTAAGAATATTTGTGGAGATTTCATAGTTTATTTTGTTCAGGTTAGGTTTCAACTGTTTTATGTATATAGCTTCAAGAATTTTTATTTTTTGTTTATTGTTTTCATTTTTTAATGATAATGTTATTAAGCTTATCAGATGATATGAAAAGAATTTACATAAAATAAATAGACAGAACTTATCTATATTATTTAATGAAACATGCATCAATATATATATATATATATATATACACATTCCATTATAAGTATATAGTTATACATACATTCATAGACAATAATTAATTTTCTTACTGGAGGCTTATAGTTACCACAGTCACAACTGGCTGGATCTCTGCAAGGATGACGTCTGATATTCACATGAGCTGGGTTTTCATGCGAATTGTAAGGCTTGAAGTATTCTTTACCTTTCTCAGAAGTCATAAATTTTTCAAAAGAATTTGTTGAATATGTCTGCAATATCAAAAAAATTGTGATTATAATTAATTTAAAAATTTATTGCCGCAGATAGATGTTTGTCTCGCTTTTTATAAATCAATTGAAATGATTATCATATGACATATCATCATTATCATATTAATTATCATTATCATATTAACTATCATTATCATATCAATTATCATTATCATATTAATTATTATGCATCAGAATGTATCAAAGGAATTTCAAGAAGTTTATATCTTGCAAAAAATGTAGAGACTTAAACCTTTTAAAAATAAGATTTAGATATATCATAATTATTTCATCTGATTTTTAAAATCTTATTTTATTTTTATACAATATAATTCGATTTTAAAGAAATTTTGAAGATTGAGTAAGCTTAGAAAATGTCTTAGTAACATTCATTTTGCTTAAATCAAAGTATATTAAATCTTCATTGTAGTATTTGTATGCTTTTGTTTTTTATATATATTCTTTTTTATTTTGCATTAATAAATTATATATGTGTGTGTGTGTGCATGTGTATGTGTGTGTGTGTGTGTCTGTGTGTCTGTGTCTGTGTGTATTTTCAGTGTAAGTATATAATTATTTTGCAAGTAAATACTAATAAAATAAAGCTACTTTTAATAATATTTATGCAGAAATCCAAAATTGATGTGCAATCAATTGTTATTATACTGGTAATATTTTTATAATTCATTTTTTTTAATAAGATTAGTAGAAAAGATTAATAGAAATAAAGACTAGTAGAAATAAAGACCTAATTATTAAATTTTTACTATTGAATTATATTATATGGAACAATTCAGAACTGAAGATTAACTTTAAACTTTTATAAAATTGTGTTCACCTGGCATTTAACAGAAAGATAATATCACTAGTATAATTTATGTTAATATTCTTTATTCTATAAATTTATCTATATTTCTGAGATGAGGTATTATGTACACTAATTACATTATTTGGACTATTGTTCTCATCTATGTTGACATATTTATTACAACGTTTTGGCCTTTCAGTATATATCTATATTTCTGAGATGAGGTATTATGTACACTATTTACATTATTCGGACTATTGTTCTCATCTTTGTTGCCATATTTATTACAACGTTTCGGCCCTTCAGTATCTGTCTATATTTCTGAGATGAGGTATTACGTACAGTATTTACATTATTCGGACTATTGTTCTCATCTTTGTCGACATATTTATTACAACGTTTCACCCGTTGTACACTCCGGTCTTTTTCAGGTGGTTGGAAAGTCAAACTGAACTCTTTATTTCGCTTGCAAGGGTAGACTGTTTTAGTTCCACGTGCCATGTCTAATGGATGTCAGTTATCTCCTGTTAATTCCCCTCTCCAAGTTCTCCACTGCCTTAACCAGGTATTGCACTCACACTCTTTTGGGTCCTGTCATTGGATCTAACAATGCCTTTATCCACTGTGCCTAATGAGTTCACACACATTAAGACATTAGGTTTATAATACCCAGAAATTCACACACGGATGTCCTCAAGAACACATGGCGCATAGTGGATAAAGGCGTTAATTAGATCCAGTGACAGGACCCAAAAGAGTGTGAGTTCAATACCTGGTTAAGGTGGTGGAGAACTTAGAGAGGGGAATTAACAGGAGATAACTCATAACTGACATCCATTAAACATGGCACGTGGAACTAGAATAGTCTACCCCAGTGAGAAAATAAAGGGTTCAGTTCGACATTCAATGGCTGAAACATTGTGATAAATATGGCAACAAATAATATAAATAGTGTCTATAAATTTAGTTGATTTTTATGTAGATTAAATTTAGAAATCCAATAAAATATATTAAATATCCGGTCCTGTGAAGTTTTACTAATGTTTTTATTTACCTTTCCAAGGAATCTCATGGAATTAATATTCAGTTCCATGTCAGTACCAAAGTCAATGAAATAGCTGTTTCCAGTTGGAAAGATAACATCATCACTAGTGCAAGGAATTTTTTCAGAGTCCAAAAGAGCAATTTTATTGATACATGGGCCATCAGTTGAATCAACTAAACACCAGTTTGCAGGATCAACCCATTCACGGGCATAAGTTGCATTGAATTCCAACTCTGTCAAAATTAGTAAAAATTAGTATAAAATAAAATATTTACTTATTATAAAGTAAATTTATTACAGAAAAATACAATGAACTTGAATTTATTTTGTAATAATTCAATATTTCCATATTTCATTTTTATACAACCAGACATTAAAAAAAGGTTACAGTTGAACAAATCAAATAATCACATAATATAATGACTCTTAATTATGCTTAGTCCAGTTGAATCCATTACATTCACTTCCATGCTAATACCCTTGGGAAAGGTATGAATCTTCGTCTTCTTCCCCCAGATGTGGGTAAATAATTTATGAGTAAATAGCAGGACAGACTGGGTTCTATGGCCTTGGATGGCAACTGGTCTACCGCAGAAAGAAATGGCAACTTACTGTGGGAAAAAAAATCTCCCTTGTCAGTCGTGTATTGAAAGATACATGATCACCCAAGCATGTATCACACATGGCACAGAACTGATTGAACTTGACACAGGCCCATGAGTTACTCAGTAACTGAGAGAGTACTAAATTAAACATAGTGATGGTCCACAAGAATAGTTTAAAAACTCTATAATACTCTATTGAAAAGATACTTTTTCTTTACATATATAATTTCATCTGATTTACTTAAAATTAGAGCTTATTAGATTTCAAGAATTAGCAACATTAAAAAATATCAAACAGTTTCTATGGAATGGATTAAAATGATTAAAAACTATTTCTATTAATTACTGTAAACCAGGGACTTGTTGGGAGAGGTAATTGAAATTAAAACTAAATATAACTTCAATTTCATTGTTCAGAACAAATTTTCTTTTGACACTGTATACTACTTGTCAATGTTTATTGTTTTTAAAAGCTGTGTTTAGAATTTTAATAAGGCATTCATATTCAGAGAACTTAAAACAATTTCTTGGTTACTTACTTTAGTGAATAATTTTACTTACAATTATAGCCATGTTATGCAAACAATAGTCAATGCATTATTTCAACAAATTAGCTGTAAATAATCAACAGTGCCTTTTTATGGTCATCTGTCTCTTATATTATTGGCAAATGATACTATTTTTACATTTACATAATTAGCAAAGTAATCATTTTAAGTAACACAGTTAATCAAAGTAAATATAGCATATTTTGCTGTGTAACACCCCAAATGCTACACACTATTTAGGAGTTAGATTTTTTATTTACAAGATTAATTTTATTATTTACAAGATTATAAAAATATGTGAAACAATTACAATGCAGTCTAGTACTTGCACATATTTTTATAATCTTGTACATAAAAAAATTAATCTTGTAAATAAAAAATCTAATAAAATAGTATTTAATATAGTATTTAATTTGAGATTTAACTCAAAAAAAATAAAACTGAAAAATCACTTTTATATGATTGGATTTGATTAAAATTCTAAATATAGCTTTTTAAAACAATAAACATTACAGGAGGACTGAAGGCAGTATAGAGTAATAGCTGTGTCAAGGAAATAACCATACTTTTGACCCACTGTTATTTTGCATGTACAATGATTACATTTTGCCAAGAACCTATTCAAATGTGTGGATCTTCAGAAAGATTAATGATGTAGGGATAAAGAATAGATTTTTCTGGGGTAATTTTAAATACCATACCCTTTGAAGATGTAGAGAATCAAGACTCTCCAGAGATTACTTTTATTTATTATTTGTGAATTACCAAAGAATAAACATTAAAAAGAAAGTCTCCACATCTCTGTATGAGGAAACTCTGTTTTTATTGATATACTTGTGGTAATAAAATAAGCACATCCCATCTCCTGTCTTGTTTGTAACTATCCGTTACAATAAATATAATGTTTTTCAGCATTAAAGCTGAATTAAGTCTTTTCGCGGTCACCATTACCCACTCCTTAGAAAGATGACCTTCACCTTCACAACCCCTGATCTCGCAGATTTAAGTCAAGTAACATGCGAGAAACTGGATGACTAGTCCAATATGGTTGAGGCCAAACCGTACCTCGTAAGCATCGGATTATGCAGCGCTTTTTCAAACATCAAACAACATTGAGATTAATTTAATATTTATGGTTTTCTACTCCCTCTAGCCAGAGAGTACTTGAATAAATTGCTCCACATATTATTAGCCCCTTTTTTCCGTCCAAATCCGAGCTGCTCGGCTTGGGGGCCTGGATCAAAGTGTTAACCTCCTCAGCAACATCAACAGAAACACCAGCAGAAACAAGAGCAGCTGAAACATCAAAAACTGGAACAGCAGAAGCAGCATCAAAAACAGCAGCAGCAACAAGAGCAGCAGCACCTCCACAAACAGAAGCAGGTGGAGGAAGAAACACCAATGGAGGTAGATAAAATGCCTCCATGAATTTAACTGCGTCCCTGACTGGGAGCAGGGAGGAAGATCCAGAGGAAATAGAACAGTCTGGCCGAAGCAGGGGGAGGCAGAAGCATGGACAGAACCAGGCAGCGCTCCTTCCCGGTTTCACCAATAAAGATTCCAGCTCCCCCAAAGTTAGGGGGCGTTCTTTCTTCCCTTCCGTGCTCCAACCCCTCTCTTCCCCATTACACCCCTGAGTTCTGGCTGCTTCCCCATTCGTCCACTTCCTCCCTCCCCATCATGCAAGGGAGAAGGAAAAAAAAAAAAAAAGTTTTTTCTTGAGTCCAGATGGGATCTATAAAAGTAGATAAGGAGGAGGCAAAAAAAGCCTGTCGAAACAAAAAAAAAGAATTTTGGGGCTCCTATTTAAGCTTGACAAGGTAGATGGGAAATCGCTAGAGGATCCACGAAACTTCCCTAATGTCCCAGGTATCATCACCGTCGTAAGAGACACTGGGGCATACTTGAAAGTGTGGAGCCATATATATGAGGCTCGAGAAGCTTATCCGAAAATAAGGGTAATGGAAGAAAATAACGAAGACCTCAAAAAAATGAGGCATTTTTGCTCTGGGAGGGTCCCGGTTCTGCTCCATCCCTCTTTGTATAGGGCCATAAAATGAATTTACCCCATGGACGTTGGCGGTGTTGTCCTGGGTGGTCGCATGACGACCGAGTTGGGTACAGGAAACCTGGGACAATCCGTCAGCAGATTTCCGCCCGGTATGTGAATAGGTTAATTCTGTTTTTTATATTTTACAGGACTTAGAAGATGGAAATTAAGATAGCAACGTTGAATGCAAGGGGCTTGAGAGATTGGGGTAAGGCTGCCCGCCTGCTCCGGGACCTTTTGTCCTTTGGTGTGGATGTTGCCGCGATCGAAGAGACTCACTTTGTTTGCACTTCCGATGCGTGTGTGCTGGAGGATGACTTTGTCGTCTATTCAGCATATGGGGACCGGTTTGCCAGAGGAGTTTCTTTGCTTGTCAGACGTACTCTTGATGCGAAGGTGGTTTTCCCCCTAATGCTTTATTGATTGTCCATACTTCCTCTCTGGCACGGAAACATTGTGCAACAACGTCAAATATCCTCCATTTTATGGAGGAGACGTGGGAATCGGGTCGACAGACAAGTCTGCACTAAACGTCCGTGTCATGGGGGGCTGGGAATGCCGCACATGTGGTGTCACATCCGTGCCTCTAGGTTGGCTTTCCTACGCCGTGCATTGACTGGAGGAGATCCGATTCTGGAGGAGATTGTTAGGGACGCGTTCCCTGGCCTTACCATCTCGCGGGTTGAGCACCGTCGTAAACCCCGGGATCAATCGGTTTTCCTTCGTGAGTGTTGGTCGGCCTTGATAGCTGTTCCCAGGTCCAGTGACCTTTCTCGGCCTAGAAAGGTCTTCTATCGTGAATTAGTGGAGGGGCCCACGAAGGATTCCCTACGAGATACGCTCGGCTTGTCGGAGGAGGAGTATCACTCCTACTGGTCTTGGGTGCCAGCAGCGGATTACCTCAGTAACCCTGAGTTTTCACTTAGCTGGCGATTGGCTCGGAATCGGCTGCTTCTCAACAACAAGGCGCTCATATGGGGCTTGGCGGATTTGCCAGACTGTGAACGGTGTGGCCTTGGTTTAGAGGAAACGGCTTCACACGCCTTCTACCATTGCCCCCGTGTCCGCCCCTTATGGGACCATGTCGGCGAGCTGACGGCCCGTATCGCTCCCGAACAGCTTGTGTCCATTGATCGTGCATACGCATGTGACAATGTGTCACCCCCGTATTCTGGGGTGAAACAGATGGTGTTTCTGATGCTGCTGGCCACGGCTCGAATGGTGATTTGGACAACGCGGAAGGAGGAAGTCTTGTGAGGCAATCGTCTTTCTTATCAGGATCTGATCCAATTCTTTGAGCATCAGCTCAAGATGAAGATTAGAACTGATGGAAAATGATTGCATTCGACAGTCTTTAGCGAAAGGTGGGTAAAAGAGGCGAGTTTGGTTCGTGTGAACAGGGCTAGCCTTGATTTTCTCTTCTAGGTCAACCTATGGCACATCAGGGTGGTTTCCTGTGGAACCCTCCCCTTGGTTAGGTTAGAAAAGCTTCAGTACCTAGTTAATGTGAGTAAATGTTGGTCCTGGCCTGCATCCCGGCTGCTCTTTGGTTATGATCCAAGTCGAGATTCCCAACCTCCCCAGTTTGTTTTGGTCCCCTTTCATCTCGGCTGGGTCAGCTTTATACTTTCCCATTCCTGCATAATATTTTATCCTTTTCCCACTTCCTTAGCGAGAGCGCCTCTTGATTCTGTCTTCTGGGCAGAATACAGCGGCCCCTCTGTTTTGAGGGTTGGACGGTCCCTACTAACATCAATTATGTTTAGTTTGCATTTTGAGTTGATTTTAGTTTATTATTGGGTTCATCTCCCCTCCCCTCTCATTTTATCATTATTAGAATTTTATGTATATTGTCTATCTTCATCAAATTTTTATGGCGTGGGGCACATTTTTGTAGGTTCCCCTGGAGAGGATGTGGTATTATGGTGGATGGAGGATTGAACGGTGACAGATGAGTTCTTGTGGTGAATGAGTAAATTGTAATGTATGAATGGGTCGTGAATCTGATTAGCTAGGTAAAAGATAGTTAG